ATCTTAACTGAAAAGTCATCACCCCTCCATCTGACTATCTCTTGAATACTCCAGCACCAACATTTCCTTTTTAGACATGATGGTCACTATCCAGAATGGTAAAATACAGACCACGATATACAAGAAACCCACAGACCAACATACATATTTGTACAGAATCATCAATTACCCTAAACACACCAAGAAAGCTGTGATATACAGCCAAGCCCTCAGAAACAGCTTTCACTTGACATAGACACTCCTCCAGAGAGATAGATCATACTTTCGAAAGAGCTATCCAGATACCATGTGAAGAACTGCTGCAGTACAGAAAGAAAACCCCCATGAGTCACACACCACTGGTTATGACATATCACACCCCACCCCTCGAACCTATACAGAAAATCCTCAAACAATTGCAACCCATACTAGAAAAAGACCCAATTCTTAAAGAGAGCTTCCCAGAACCATCCATCCTAGCCTTAAAACAAGCACCCAACCTAGCTAACCTCATCACCAGAAACAAACTTCCTACGGCCCCAAGCACACCAAATGGATCCATGACAAGCAACATAAAACATCTCCACCACCAATAACTACATCCCACAACAGAACCGTCAGCATTCCTGGATCTTACAGCTCCACCTCCAGAAATGTAATATCTCATCCAATGAACAAAATGCCTGATGGAAAATACATAGGAGACACCAAACAACAACTGTGCACAAGAATGAATGTGCACCGGAAATCTATAGAAGACAAGAATACCCGATCACCTGTGGGGGCATGTTTCTCACAAGAAAACCACTCTCTCTCCAATCTCTCAGTTCTAATCCTCAAAGGGAATTTACAAAACACCTTTCAGAGATGAGTCTATGAACTTCACTGCAGCAACCTCCTGGCTACAAAATATATGGACTAAATATAGACATTGGATTTATGACACAGTATAACCTGCCTATCCAACTCCCCAGGTACCGCTCCACTATTTACCAGCTACATTCATTCCCTCTCTCCCCCACCAGCCTGTCTCTCGCCCACTGGCTCTTCAGTGCATGTCTTCACTGACTGGCTTTCTTGCATGCATACCATCCTCTGGGTTCTTTACCATTCATTCCATCAAGGAAGAGCACACATCAACTGGAGACGCTTCCTCAGCCTGATGAAGGGTATTTATATCGGAAAGCTTGCAAAGAATTTTTCCAACTATCTGAGTTGGTCTAATAAAAGATATCAGATTTACCCAAAGAACCTTGTCTAACTGAAAAGTCAGCATGCAGATCATGGAGCACAGGTATTAAGTGTTCACAGCAAGATACTGACTCAGCAAGTGAACTGACTCCATGCCAGCACATGTAAACAATGGTGTACTGAACATGAAACCTCTAAAAATGTATATATTCCAATAATAACATTAATACCATGGCACAATTTAGGCCTGGGAAAATACATATGAAAGGACTCAGCATACGTAGACTGCAGCTAAATGTTGTATGCCTCACTAAAATGATATTTATTCATGAATGAAAATGCAGATTTCCTATCTTCACATGAGTATCTGCAGAGTATTGGACACATGGTCCATTCCTTCTAGCTATGAAGACTGCCCTTTTCACTGACTTTATAGAAGATAAATGGCAGCCTAACCATTAACAAGCCCCAAGAGATTTTTGAAACAAGAGTCCCACCCATGAGCTAGAGACACATGAACCAGAAGGAATATCCTGGGACTGCTAAATGAGTAAAGTCTACTCTGTGGTACTCAGCAAGCCATGCACTGTTCAGAAAAAAGTTTCCTTTAGCGGAGACATCAACACAAGGCAACTGCAACAAGTTCTACTTGAGGTAAATTTAAACCCTTCAATAAATTTGAGTATGTTGTGATGAGTATGGACTGTTACTTAAGAGCATGAAAGAGGTAAGACTGAAACCACAACTCAAAAGTCTTGGTAGAACTCACACATGGCATTAATAGATGACTATTAATAGCAGAAGAGTTGTGTGTGTTCAAAAGCTTCTGTTCTCAATAGAAGCCACTGAACTTTGAGAACATTCTTGTCAAGTATTTCAGCAATTCAGAAGTCAGTGTAACAACCTGAGAAGACTGAAGGTGTCGTCTTGGCATGCTGAGGAGCAGTGTAGTGATAGTCAAACTAGCTTTGAACAAAGCACAAGAAGCAGTCTACCTTGGTAGCATGGCATGACACACCAGGTAATTTGTTTGGCACATGATTGGGTTGATTCAGAAAGACCTGGAGATGTCTACACTGTTGATGGCACAAGGGATTTCACACTGGATTAGGCTGATGTAGAGGGACCAAAGGGGGGAGGGGGAGCAATCACCAATAACTTAATATTGAGAAGAACATGTGAGCCAAGCCTGTCAGAATATTAACAGTTAAAAAGGAAATGAGGGATAGAAAAGGCCATTCATCCCCTTTTGTATCCTTTGAATACTCCACAAGGGGAAAGACACAGACAAGTGACCACAATAGATACTGCTCTTCATAATATTCCACAGTTCAATGCCAGTAAGTACTAATTTGACAATAGGTGCAGAGGCCACCTGAAGAGGGCAAAATTTTGGAACACATTATCATTCCCATCAGCCATACAGTTCTTGCTTTCTTACTCCCTGTAATATGACCTGGCCCCCAGGGGCAATTGTCAGGTCCCCTGGTAGCCATGCAGCTCCTGCCCCATTCCAGCTCCCTGGGTACTCTCACTTTTCCCTGGCCTGTCACACCTTGATGTAATTAGTTGATCTGTGAAGAGGAAGGCTGCCCTAGGGTCCCTGAGTGAGCTCTTGTCTGTCCTTTGGCCAGCCCAATCCTCGAGCACTAAGTGAGCCCTCCTAGCCTGTCTCTGCCCCCTAGACACCTGTTGCCTTGGGGCTGTTCATGGCTTCCTTCTGCCTCTACACCTATGCCCATGCCTCGCAGATATTACTGATTAATCACTCATGTCAGGCCTCCTTAGGCCTCTCCACCTTTGTTGGGGTCTCAGCCTTCCCAGCCTCTAGCTTTCCCTTCCCATTAGCTGGGCCTGTCAGCCTAAGCCCACTGTACCAGTGATGAATTCCAGCCCGTCTTGCCCTCTCGGGCCCATTTCTATCAGCTTTCTTAGTGCAAGCTTTAACCTTCTAGACTTTTACCTGACTATTGCTTGAGCCTTGCCCCTGGAAGGGCTCAAAACTGCATGTTTTGCAGCTGAGCATTTTGGGCCTTGAACACCAAAGTTGCCTCCTCATTACCCTGTCTAGACATATCCAGTCCACTAGTGTAATAAATAGAACAAAACATAAGCCCATTGGCTGCAACTAAAACTATCTCCACACTGGATCCAAACAAACACCAGCTCCCTGGCTGTACAAAACTCTCCCCCCCACCACTGGGTCATACTTCCCTGTAAGCTCTAAGTGCCTTGCTTCCAGTTCCCAGGGCAGCTCAGGTATCAGCAAGTCACTCCTCTGCAGTCATCCTGTTCAGATGCTCTTCCCCCTGCTGCCTGCAGGGTCAGATTGCCTGCTCTGATCCAGGCCCTGGGCTTATATGCTTCCTAAACTGTACCTCTTCCAGTCAGGTGGCTCCCCAGCCACCTGCAGCTCATTCTGCTGCAGCTTTCTCTTAAAATAATAGGAGCTCTCTGGCTCCCTATTGCACTCCTCCACAAAATTCACAAGACAAGGATACTGCTATTCACAAATACAAATAAGAAATAACACTTCCAATTGACTGTCATGGTTTGGAGTTTTACCCAATTACACACTGAATAATCTGCTTATAAAATCCATACACTCTAAAAATATACTCCTAACATCTTATTGTTCATGCAGTGCAACTATGATGTAAAACTGCAACCCTGACAATACAGACATCTTCCATTTTCTACTTTTGGCAAATGAGTTTATGTTTCTACTGTTGCCTCAGTGCCTTCTGATTATAAAAGCATTGTTAAATCTGTCATAGTGCTAATTTAAAAAAACTCAGCCAATTATGTAGAATGTATGTGTTAAATTTCTGTATTTCTGTAAGAAAATTAAAAATAGCGCTTCCAGCTGGAAAACAATGCAGCTTACTATTTCAGCTAGAGTATAAATCTATATTAAAAATGATTTGAGAACTCAACAGACAAAATTTCTTTGATGAAACTTCTTCCTAGTGTGATAATGAACTATTTTTAATCTCACTTTTAAATTGAATATAAGGTTATTAATTTTATAATTGATAGAACAGATAAAAACTTCTAGTTTTGTTATAAAATATTGCTCTGCTTCTTCAGGCTCCATAACATGTTAGAAGTGGAAGCATTTGGTTTCTTTTCCTGTCCTTTTACTGAGGAGATGTTAATTAGGAGAAGGCTTAGCAGCTCCAAGTGTTGGATCAGCAAAGAGCACTCCTTTAGTCAATATGAATCTCATCTAGCACCCTGCACAGTGCCAGGCTGAGCAGAGACACAAAGTTCCACAAAGCCACAAACAGAGGGGAAAATCCAAATCTACCAGATGGCAAAAAGCTAATTATAGACATATCAAGCTCATGCTTAAGGTTAGCCCTTGACTTGTTTAATAAAACCAGCATATTACTGAACCTCTCAAGTCTAACCAGTTCTTTCTTATGCTGTTGCAAATATTGGTCCCAGTTCAGGCATGCAAGAGTGTCCTAGAGAAATATACAAGGGTGGATGTTTGAAAAGTTTCTTTTTGTTACTTAAGGCCTGATTCATAACAGGTTGGCTCAAATTAAACACTTCCTTTGACATTAATGAGATCTGTATTAATCCCTTGATACATTCAACTACCTAAGTGAAAGAGGCAAAGCAGTCTAAAGTGAGGAACCCCAGTTTAGCATACAATTTTTATTAATGAATTAGTATATTTTCATAAACATACATTCACAGCAGTGAAACCAGGTCAACAATGTGTACATAACATCTCAAACTATCAAATCTCATTTAAACAACCAATACAAATTTTAGCTAACATACTGGAACAAACAGCATTAGAAATATACAGGTCTTACCTTCACATACTGGGCAGCATTCCCCAGGCACTTTAACAGGATTCAGGCAGCTCTGACCACAAGCTGTTGCCACACAGTGAGGGTCCCCATTGATGCACTGGCAGAATGTACAATCATCTTCTCTCCAGCGATCTCCATGTGCTTGAATCTGTCCATTGGCATAGCAGCCAGCAGGGTTACTAACTGGATAAACTGGATCTAAAATAAGATAAATTACAGTAAAAAGAAATGTCATTTTCTTGTTATTTATAGAAGTTATTGATGAATATCACCAATTAATGATGATCTTTTAAGGTAGACAAAAAGCAACAGGAAATTAAAACACCATCAAATGCACCATCTAATGTTAAGAGCTTCACATTATAATCATACAGTTCTAATACTGCATGGCTAATAAGTCAAAAAAGTCAAAGTTTGATGTTGATGTGTGAGGTCAGAAACATTAATTCACCCACGTTGACTATTCTGCATGTTTTATGATGTATATTTTTCAATTCCATGTTAAATATACAATTTTAATAAACAAAAGGTGGAAGGGAAAATATTACACATACCTGGCTAACGTAGTAGAGATACTGGAACCTGAACATATACTTTTTCTAGTTACATACTTTAGTAGTCCATACTTAATATTGCATGAAAATATCTTTTCCGTTTATTTTTGGGGGTATTTTAAAAGAAAGTAAAGAAAAAAGAAAAAAACACAGTGATCTCTCTCAATGAGCTATTGGTACAGTACTTGTTAATATTACAGCCAGTCATTGGTGAGAATCAAGAGACTGTATCTTTTTTATTATTTGCATTCAGGCTGAGGCCTTCCTCCTTTCAAGTGTTGATATTGCCACATAGATTTATGCTTTTGTCATTTTTAGACATTCTGCATAATAAAGCCACTTGAACATTTAATTATAGAAAACAGCACCTTGATTAGGAAGGGTGTTCATGACAGGAATCAAATTAATTAGACATGCATGTAAGTTGACAGTACTGCATTGTAATGTGGTACTTTAAAGCTATAACACTTTACACAGGTGGGGCCATAGTTATTTCAGAGACCATTTCTATTCCACACAATACGGTGACAGGTTAGATATAACAGGACAAAATGTGTTTCTCTCAGTTGCATGAGTTCTAATCTAGGCAATTTTTTTTTCATATTAGCTATCAAAAATGTTTAAAGGCATAAATTAAAAAATGAAAAGTAATTCTAGTATCACTTCAAAACAAACAATAACTCAAACTAGCATTACATAAGAGACCTACTTAATAATTAACAATGGAAACAAATAAGAGAAGCAAACTCCAAAAATGTGCAGACACACTTTCCTATATCCTCAGGTCAAATTCAAGCTCAGTTATGTTTCGAGCACTTGTAGAGAAAATAATTCTGTCTCCAGGAAGAAGGGAGGAAAAACAGAGACAGACCATTAACGAGACAGCTGGGATATTTCAGAAAGTTCCATCATGCACCCTTGAAAAAAATGCCAACAGGTACATCTGGAAAACTGTTATGCTGCCTTTCCCTTGGGAGCCCTGCACTGGCCACGCACCCCCTGTCCACCCAGCAGCAGTGAGGGAGGTGAGTTGTGCCTCCTGCTGCCAGGCAGGAAGGGGATGCATGGCTGATGTGGGGCTCTCAGGGCAAAGGCATCAGAGTGGAGCGTCTTGAGCCCACAGAAGCCAGGCTGCATCTGCCCTCACCCCGCTCAGCTCTGCCCCACTTAAAAGCATCCCTGGGTTTAAAAACGGTGGCAGCAGCACTTGAAATAGAGCTCAAGCTTTGACACGTTTTGGTTTAAGCACCCCTGCCACCATTTTTAAGTGCCAGGATGCTGATACATGCGATGCCAGAGGCTGCTGGATTGTGAAAAAAAAAGTTTATTTATGTCAGTACATTTTGAAATACTGACAAACTTTTTTTTTTTTAATTTTGGCGTGCTCCAGTAGCCTCTGGTGTCACATGTAACCAAACTGGTTATTGGGTCAGTATTGGCCGATATGGCTGGTTAATATAATATAACTGGTTATTGGTATCGGCCACGAAAATCTTTACTGGTGCACCCCTAAATATTTTATAACTATACCAAAACTTAACCATTTGGACTGAAATTGTATGCCTCTAGCTTTTTCCACAGGTTCCTTCTAAATTTTCAGTAAAACTAGTTAATAATTTTCTAAACTCTTGTTAAGGAAAAGCAAGTAATTTTGCTAATGTTAAAAAGAAATTTGATATGTAAGAAGTTTTTGGTTCTTAACATCACAATATCAATTTTCTTTAAATTTTGTTTTTGTTTGCAATTATTTGTCTTGTTCCAAACCAAATCAGGATAGATTTACCACAAAATGAAAGTCAGGTATCTTACCACTAAACTCTGTTGACCATTATGTGAGATGACAAGGATCACACCAAGAAGCTTTCCAAGCTCACATCCCATATAATATCCATTTAAAATGTAGACCCTTCACCTAGATCAGTGATCTCCAACCTTTCTAAGTTGGAAATCACTTTTGGACTTTAAAAGGAACCCAAGATCTACCCTGTGCCGTAGCTGCCACTGCAGGGAAGTCTAGATGGAGAGAGGGGAGATCAAGGCAGAAGGTGAAAAAATTATTTGGGGGCACACCCCCCAGCAGATAAGTCTGTGGGGTGAGTGGGGGGAAGTGAGAAGGCCATGGGGTAGGGCAAGGCAAATCAATGCCCCAGCCCTAGCCCCACTCTGTCTCTCCCCTCTGGGAGGGAGGGAGTAAGGGCTGGAGCAGGGGCAGGCCTTAAACAGCTGGGGTGGGGCGAGGCAGAGCCCTGAGTAGATTGTCTAGGGGCGGGGGGGCACTCACCCTGGGAGGGAATGGGGGGCACGTGCCCCCAGAATTGCATGGGGTTGGACAGGGTGGGGCAGGCTGCAGCTGCCGGCTGGGGCTGGGCTGTACCTGGTGGAGGATGCAGCAGTGCTGCCACCACCCGAAAATTTGCTGTAGCCCCCCCAGAACCCTCCCAGTGACACTGCCACCGGGCCCAATCTCAGTGTGGCCACAGCCTCTGCCGTGATCAGCCTAGTGCTCCCTCACAGCCCCAGCCCATCAGCCTGCCCTCCCCCTGCACAGATCCAGGGCACATGGCCCCTTTGCCCTCAGGAGGTGGGGAGGGGCTGGGGCTGGAGCTGGGAACAGGTACTGGGCTGATCGCAGCAGAGGCTGCAGCTGTCCTGAGACTGGGCCTGGTAGAGGCATTATAGCCCCGCTCCCAGCGCTGCCACCCAGCCCAAGTGGAGCGCAGCCATATCCTCTGCCAGGAACAGCCCAGGCCCAGCCAACAACTGCAGCCCACGCTGCCTCACCTTGCCCCGTGCAATTCCAGATGCATACACCCCCTGTGCCTTCCCAGGGTTAGTGCTCCCCCTCAATCCCCCTGAATGAGCTACTTGGGGCTCTGTCCTGCCCTGCCCCTGTTGCCCAGCCCTTGCTGCAGCCCATGTCCCTCCCTGACCCCTGCTGCAACCACCCGTGCTGCTCTGTGTTTGAGGGGGGACATGCATCCCCTGATCTGCATGCATTGGAGGCAACTCCCACTGTGGGCTGGGCTTTGCACCCAAAGCCTTACTACAGCTGGCTGGGGAATGACATCACTCACCTAGCTGCTTCTGCACTTCATCCCTCACTGTGGGGCCTTGGTCTGGCCCCCGTCCCTTCCCTCCCCCACCAACTGACCTGCTGGGCTGGCAGGGGGGGGATGCGCAGGCATGCACTCAGCCCTCCCACCCCAGACCAACTACAAGAGGCGCCGGGATCAACCTGTTGATCCCAATCAACTGGTTGGTGACCACTGACCTAGATAAATACAGAGGCTGCTCCTTCAGTCACAATGCACACTTCCAAGTGCTCACTAATCTGCATGCAAGCCTTACACACTAAAAAAAAAATTGGAGAAATTACTGCACTCCTTGGTGCTAGAAAGAATTACCATATTTATCCAAATTGAAGAAAACTCTGAATTTAAGACTCAAACCCAATTATTAGATTCTATATATAGAAAATAATACATTTGTTATAATTTTCCATATGTAGAATCTAATTATTGCAGGGTCATCTTAAATCCATCCCATCACTATTGTGATGGGGAAAGCAGCAGCAGTGGGGCAGGCAACCTGCCCCAACACCACTTGTCCCCCCCACCCTGTGCCTGCTCCCTCTGCCAACTGTTCCCCCGGCCACCAATTGCCTTTCTGTGGTACCTGACCCTCTCCCCCACCACCCTGAAGCCTGCCCTCCACAGTCACTTGTTCTCCCCCTTCCACCACTACCACTTACACTACATAGTGGCTCTTGCTCTACCTCAGGGCATGCAGCACACGGTGCCTCTAGCTCTGGTGTGGCAGCAACAGCGATGGCAGCTCCAGCTCTGGCCCTGAATCTCCTCCATGCTCCCTCCACCCTGCACTGAATGGTCTCCCCTGCACCATCCCTGCCCCTGCACTGCATGGTTTCCTCTGAGCTCTCCCTCCTTACCATGCGCTATCCCTTTCACCCCATGCTCCCCCTGGGCCAGACCTCATGATCTTCCTCACCCCAAACCATGAAATCTCTTCCCTCCTTCCTTCACTGTGCCATCACTGCCTGGCCAGGGCTGAAGACAGATCTGGGGCCAGAGTGAGAGCAGCTACCTGCCCTGGGTATACTTGAATTGAAGATGAGGTTTATTTTTCTCCATGATGAATGGGCGGGGAGAGGGGGGCAGAAATCTCATCTTGGATTCTTTTGAGAGCTCCTGCAACAGTGGTAGGTATGTTTAATATTTTAAAAAGAACAAGAATTCCTAAACTACACCATGCAAATAATCAGGAAAACATAAGCAAAGAAAGATAAGTTACCGTCCAATAAAGAAAATATTTAACAAAACATGAGGAAGTCCATCCTCTGGATAGACGAAGCAGGGGAAAAAAAAAGGAGAGAAGAAAAAATAAACAATGACAACACTTGTGGGTGAATCACTGGATTTGTGTATTCCTAGTTTTCTCCTAAACATGTATTTTGGAAGCCCAAGAACACACACACACACACACACACACGTGTGTATACATATAATGCAAATACTCATGTACATATTTGATGCAAATTACTTGGACAGATAAACTTCTATATATATCATCTAGATAGAATTTGACTTAGAATGGAGAGGTTTATATCATATTTTCTTACTTTTTTATGCTGAAGGAGGAACATTATACTACCTTACAGGAAACCCACAATTGGATTTCACCTGAAAGACCACAGTTGAGTAAAAAAAGACTGACCATACAAACTGAGAAGTATTTTGCTTGATAATTTAACAAAAATCTGTATAACAGACTTCCCCGATGAAGATATTTGGGAAGCCATACTAAAAAGCAGGTATCCAACAAGGAGGCCATAACATCATGACTGACATATAAAGCCAACGCCTAATAGCTAAACAGCCAAGAAAAAATTAAATAGCAGCTGAGACTAACCTAGACCTAAAGGAAACTGTTCTGCTGGACAACTGTCAAATCATTATCCACTGTATCCTGTCTACCAAGAACTATGACAGGAGACTTCCACTTCTATTCTCATACATCTCAGACATTCCCTCCCAAGATACAGGGGAGAATGAAAACAAATCTGCCTGACAGTCCTATTCCTAGAGTCTCAGATGAGGAAGAGAAAAGGCTAATTTTTAAAAACAGCTCCAACAATATGTGACAATTTGCCAGAACAATTTCCTGACAAATTTTACTTTACCAAGTTTTCAGGAAATAATAGAGACAAGGGGCCAAGTTCTCTGGTGCTGTGTTTTGCCCGAAAAGAATTTTCCCTGAGTATGTGTCATTTAGTACTCGCAGTACTCAGTACTATGTGTATCAGTGCACAATACACAATGCTCAGATAGAGAGGTTACCATAACATTAACAAAATATGTGAATTCTACTTCCATATATATTTATACTTATTGGCCTAAAAGACAGGTAGTCACCAGTGAAGCAAAAAAAACAAGTGATCTAAAGAAATTATTCATTTGAGTAAGAAATGCATGCTCAGGTAACTAAGGGATGCAGGACTGGGACCACAGTAAACCTGCATCACAATAAGCTAAATATTTCTGAGTAACAGTAGCAGTAACATTTTCTTTTTCTAGCTCCTTTGGAGGATTTCAGTGCACTTCAGAATCTTTACTAAAATTTTCCTCATACCACTACTGTGAGAAAGAAAACATAACAATGATTTTTTAAAAAAGTGAAGAAGTTCAATTAGAAAAGATGATATTGAAGGGACTTGTCCAGTATATCACATGAGAATTTCTCAGCAGATTGGAGATTAGAATCCAAGTCATTTGATTTTCAGTCGCATATATGCATATTAATTTATTAACAAACATAAACAGCAATGGCTTTAGTCTAGGGTTGCCAAACTGGCCCCAGTCCTTGGGGCAGATTTGGACTGATAGGTTCTCTGTGAGCTGGATCTAGATGTGGCGGTGGGGCAAGCAGCAATAGTGGGGGTCATTTCAGCCACCGCTCACCCTTCACTGCTGACATGTATGTCCAATAGGGCTCCATGCCCCACTTGCTCCAACCCCTCTACAAGCTCCACAGGCTATACAACATGGTTCTATGGACCACTTCTGGCCCATGGGCCATAAGCTTGACATCCCTAAGGACCTTAGCAGAACCAGACCAGTATACTGAACTGAGACCTAGTGACCAACTAAACGTCAAATAGTGAAGCTGGACAACTCAGGTCAATACCTCCAAAAATGTAAGGCTAAAGATACATAGTTGGAATAACCCTCCTTAGCCAGCACTTCAAGCTCTCTTTCCTGCAAACTGAACCCATTCATTTCAGTTTTGCGTATCATGTAAGGGGGGAAAGGAGAAGGCAGCTCCAGCCACTGGGTATGGAAGTTATCCTTGTAAACCGGGGTTTTCTAGCAAAGGATGCATCATATGTTTCCTGATACAACTAAGAAGTCGTCATTGTGACACCTTCTGTAAAATCCCCTTTTTAAACCTAAGCCCAAGATGATGGAGACTTCCAGAGAAACAAAACAATACCGACTCAGATCTCCACACCACTTAAAAAGCAAATAAAAAGAGTAGCTATAATAAGTGAATGTGATTGAGAAATTACCTTCACAGACTGGACAGCATTCTCCTTCTGGCACATAATATCTGTCACAGTGCAGCTCACCACACTGTGCTGAGAAACAAATGGATACGCCACCCTGACATCGACAAAAACGACAAGCATCCATTCGAAACATGTCTCCATCGTAGTATTCCACGCCATTAAATATGCAAGTTGGCTTGACTTCTGAAAGAAGCAGACAGAAAAAACGCCCCCACATTTTGTGCTTTTAAATAATTCAAAATGTTAGTCACAGACAAATTCTTAGTTATATCCGCCCCCAGTAATAAACCCAAAACAATCCATCAGAGAAGGGGTGTGCACCTGTTTGCCAGCACGAGGGCATGCCCTCAGTGACAAAGAGGGAGATAATAAGGTCTATGGACTCAGTCTACTCCACCCTGACCTTCCTGCTCTGAGTGTCAGGGTTGGTGGGTAGAGATTAAAATAAGAAAACTTAGGTCAGTATGGGGCTAACAGAACTCAAACAGATTTCTTCACAGTAAGAAATCTGCCCCCAAGTCAGTGGCATTGCTTCAGGCAGAAGCAGGGGTAGGTGGGCAGGCACCAGTGTGCTGTCCCACACTGCACTGCTCCACCTCCCTGGCAGACTGTACCTCGCACTCCTGCATTTCTGGGATGCTCATTTTTATTCTCAGCAGCTAGCTAGGACCAGCTTCTGAAATCTGGGATTGTCCAGGTTAAACTGGGGAACATATGGTCACCCTGTACATGCATATATATTTTTTTTTTATAGGAAAAAAATTACAATAAAATAACAGCCAGTCAAAGTTTCTGAAATGTTAACAATTTTTTTAAAATAACCACTTGAATTCCAATTACCCAAACACAAAATAAACCAGAAATGCTACCTCACTTAGCTTTGCCCCCAACAGAATCCCCAATACATCCCACCCCACTATTAACCATAATACAAATCTTTATAAAAAAGAAGAGTGAACTTTAAGGTTAAAAATATCATGCTATTAGTGACAAAAAGGGATATAAGGACAGTGGTGAGCTTTGCAGTTTTCTAAAGCATGGTCTTTTAAATGTAGAGAATATTCAAGGGCCTGTTTCTTCATTAGAAAGTCAGTCAAATTCTAGTCAGGAAGTGTTCTCAGGGTAATTCAGGTACACTTCTATCAATAAAATTCTGCATTGCTATAACTCAAATGTTGACTGTGAAATTAAATTTATTTATTACCTCTCCAATGGCATTAATTAGCTATTTCTAACCTTGGCTGGTTACAAGCTAGTAAAACCTAAAAATCAAAACACACAATCCATTGCTTTTTCTATTTTAGATAACATTTAGGGATTTCTAAAATTTCTTGGTAGCAATCTTCCTTTCCATAAGAAGCTTGGGCACAACTGGATACTCAACACTACAGCAGCCTAAAGTTTCAGTTGAATGGATATTTTAAAAAGCCAGAAACATTTTAAAAAAACCTCACAATTTCTAAGAGATGCCTTTGGTCAAATACCGATCTAACATAATATGATTACTGTATGTTTACTACATGATTGGGATAAAGATGGTAGTGATATTCATTTGATATGATCTGATAACTTGTGAATAAAATCATGATCCCTAAGTCTTGCTAATAAAATTGTGACAGGAGGGCACACTTGGGGCCAGGTCTCATGCCAGCCCAGCTCCCTGCCTCTATGGGGCAGTCTGCCCTGTCTCGCCTGCCACGACTTTGCTGTTTCCATAAATGGGTGGTAAATGCGGGACGCTGCCCATTATATGCCCTGATGCCAGGAGGCACTATCTGCAGCTCCAAACCTCCCCTACAGCCCATGCCTCTCAGATGGCATCCATGGTGTCATTATGCTGCCGGCCCAGAGCCAGACTAAGCTTAGCCCTCACTGTCAGGCCTCTTTCATACACACATTCACTCTGCCCTCCTCTCACTAGGGCCTCTCACACTCCACCCAGTCTCACAGGGTCTTTTTCTTGCATCAACAACTTGTTCCACCCTGCTCCCTCTAGGAGCGGCTCCCATAGGCCATAGGCTTTATCCGGATCATGCCTTGGGTGGCAGATGTACAGTCTCTTGGGCCTCTGCTGTGACCCTCACTTAGGTTGTGGCCACCCAAGTTCCTGACCTGGGCCAAGCTCACCCTGGCCCCTCCCGGGGCAGCTTTACATAACCTATACAAACACACACTGGGCCCCAGACCCACGTATTGGGTTCCCCCTTTCTGGGGCTCCACACTTCCCTCAACTTGCTCTGCAGGGGGTTGGCCCTGTGCTGCCCTTCAGGCTGTTCAACATCCCCTCTGGGCTGCCCTTCAGGATGACTCTGAGCCCTACTCAACCCTCTTCCAGGCCCTTACTACTAACCCCTCTCTGGGGTTGGGGTTCTGGGGTTTCCCTTCTCTGTGAAGGCTCAGGTGGCCATAGACATGCCTGGCCCTGCCTGGGTCTTATACCCTCTTTGGGCTCAGATGGCTGTAGCCATGCCTGCCCCCCTTGTACCTACACTGTTGTGGAGGCTATGGGTTAAGGCTCCCCGACCTGTCTTTCACTGGGATGGTAACTGGCCTGGCATTTCCTGGGGACTCCTGTGCCACCAGGAGCCCCACCAGGCCACCCATCCCCAGCAGGGTGCAGTTTTAGGTCATGCACAGGACCAAAAGCCTCCTAGCCATCCCCATAAGCTCTTGCCCTTACCTACTAGATGTTTCATACAGCCTTGCAGCCAGGTGATGTTTCTGCTTGCCTGCCAGCAGCAGGCTGCTGTGTTTATATAGGCAGCCAGTATTTTAAAACAGCTGCTGCAATCAAGCACCTGCTGACTCCTTGACTCAGACCTTATAGTGGCAGGATCTGCAAGTGCACTGCCACAAAAATAAAAATATCACCTAAATTACCATGTTATATAAGACAGTTATAGTAAAACTTCATGAGAATTTTAAGGTTAAAAAAATTACGACTGTTGCATGATTTTTTTTTACATGCAGTTCCAGGACCTAAGTTACAATTAAGTCTATAGTAAAACACAAAGATCCTCCAGGCAGAAATTGGTACTGCCTTAGTTTCCACTGAAGAAGTATGGAGTTTTAGATTGTCAAACAAGTACAAAGCCTTGGGTCATTCGAGATTTCTGACCACTTCTGGGCACACACAGGTAGACACATGCAGACAAAATTTCTTCTATCTACCTCTCTCTAGAAGGATGCATTCCATCTTGTCAAACCTGAATCTAGAAAGTATTAATACCTTCACAGCCTGTTGTCCTGTTTTAACTCAACATGCATAAAGAATGAACACTCCAACCAGAAACAAATTAAATTAGTAAGAAAATGGCAGCCCATCTCTTCAGTTCTACCAACCATGACTGCATCATTCCATACTTTGCTTGTTACATTGTACCAGCATAACAGGCACAGAAAAAGGTTTAGTTTCAGTCTTCATAGACTTCTATGCAATTGGCTTATATTTTTCCAAATAATGGGTATCTTCAGAGTAACGATGTCCTGCAACCACTAAATTAAATTGTTAAGAAATATATCAGCCTCAAAGGTGAAATTTCTGATAACAGAAGTCAGGGTTTTTGCCAACAATAAGATCTAGCCTATGGATGTCATCACAGATTAGATAAAGACTGAAAATCTTATTATTTTCAAAAGAATATAAAATTCACTTCTTAATTTTGGCTTTCCTAGAACTACAACCAAAAACAGAAAAGAAAAAAGGAGGCAGAAATAAAAAGAAGAATGGTGACAAAGAGAAGTAGTAAGAGGAAAAAATGTAAAAGTCTTATACATGTTAATTCAAATGCTACGTAGGGAACAGAGAAGGACATTAGATCACTTGCCTCTTGTAATTTTAATTATGTCCTGAGAAATGGTTAAATTCCACAGCAAATTGGTCTTCATAAGAATTTACAGAGAGAAGATATTTTTATGCATACTATATAGACTTTATGTCACAATTCAATACGATTATTACAACCCCCTTTCAGTTGAGGTCAATACTGGTGTTTTAATACTCAATTCCAAACCTTGTATACCCAATAAGTTAGTTAACATTTTTAAGTGGTGATAACCCACAATGCCTTTCTACTTCAATAAGAGATGCACATGTTCAGAAGTTCTGTACAAGTCAGGCTGCTCACCTGTAGGTGCCTAATGTTACTCACATGAGATTAAAAATACTGACCCTTTTAAAAATGAAAGATTTTGTTGACTACTAGAAGAAACTTTTCTGGCTGTGTTCTTATCACTTAGAATGACTACAAAATGTTGAAGATGAAATTCATTCTCACTGAGCTGTTCCAATGTTTAATTTTTATAGGTCTGTTTCTCTGTCTTTTAAGGCATGTTATTAAAAAAATCATGAAAAGGGGAGAGAGTGAAAGAGGAAATGCCAGAAGTGCTATTGTGTCCAGGAAACCGGCTATGACCTCATTAGAAAACTATTCGCATAAACAAACACTTGAGAAATATTACAACTGTATGTAGTCTGAGCTGTTAGTTTAAAAACAGTTTCTTAAAAAGGAAAAAGTGCTAAT